GCAATGCACAAGCAGACAAACCTTGCAGGCTTTACAGTGTTGCCAGACCAATTTGCACAAGCTCGCCTTTCCCACGATTTTTATCACCAAAATGCCAAAGCTTTACAGCTAATGTTCTGTTTAAAACAAGAACAGGTAAAGCAAATCATTCAATCCTGCCCTGACAGCAGATATTGCCTGCACCTTCTATTGGCACTAACCCTTAAGGTCTCTCTTCCCTAGAAACATGGCAAAGAGATGCTACCCACTAGCAGAATTCGGCAAATACAAATTTGTTCACATCTCTCTAGACACCTTTTCAGCTTGCATTTATGCCTCCAGGCATGTTGGAGAAAAAGCAAAAGATGTTTGCCATTACTTCATTTTGGCATTTTCCGCCTTAGGAATCCCAAAAACTATCAAAACAGATAATGGCCCAGGTTATGTATCACACAAAACACAATCCTTCTTTCTGCAATGGGGCATTCAGCATAACATGGCTATCCCACACTCTCCCACAGGTCAAGCAATCATAGAACGTGTGCACTGCACTCTTACGGCTATGCTGCAATAACAAAAAAGGGGGAGTGCAGGGTTAACCCCACAGGAACGTGTTGCCAAAGCCTGCTATGTATTAAATTTTTTAAATCACTGGACAAAGGAAGGGTCTCCTATCCACTATCACTTTAACACAGATGATGTGAAACCTCAGGAAAAAGCCCAAGTTATAATTAATAACTTGCAAATAAATCAGTTGGAAGGACCTTTTCTCATAATAACATGGGGAAGAGGGTATGCTTGTGGTTCTACAGGTTCTGGCCCAAGATGGGTGCCTGCAAGATGGGTCAAACCAGCACTGCCACAGCCATCCATGTGATTTGCAGTGTTTCTCCTGCTACGGTGTTCTGGACCTGCCTGGTTGGAGAGCCGGCTGACAAATGACAAATCCCTAAAGCACTGAGGCACAGCACAAAGTCCTTTGGTGGAATAGGGGACAGTTGGGATGGTTGGGTTCTTTATTATGCCTGATGCAAGGTTTAACCTTTTTGGGGATCTCCTTAAGGGATGAGAGTTAAATAGTTAGTTAAACAAGTGTCCTTAATAAAGAAGGGGAACATGGGGGGAACACGCAGGCTGAAGGTCTGGAAAGAACCAGACCTTAGCAGAAGATTTTGGGCCAAGCAGAGTACAGAGTAACTCATCACAGGGATGAGTTGCAACTCCAAAAGCCTGCAATGTCCCCATGTGACAGCTAGCAGCCAACTAGATGCTGTGGTTACAGTTTTTGCCTTATAAGGAATACTTCCATATTTGTGTTGGTTATAAAAGGCTGCATCCTTTTGAATAAAGTTGTCTTAGTTCCTTTCCCCCACTCTGAGTCCATGCCTTTCAATATGCCACAATGAACCAGGCCAGAGACATCATCATGTCATGTCCCGACTGCCAACAATTTGCCCCAATGCCATCTAAGGAAGCGGTTAATCCCCGGGGCATAATAGCTAATGAGATATAGCAGACTGATGTCGCTCATATAGCTGAGTTTGGTTGACTAAAGTACGTACACGTCACTGTAGACACCCACTCTATTAATGCCACTGCAAATACAGGGGTGTAGTGGTTTTGAGTCTAGGCCTTCCTTGGTGACTAGGTTGTAACCAAGGAACCAAGGTCATGTTCCCAGTATTCCATACGATTTTTACATAAGCAAGAGTATAAATAAGAAGAGAGAGGAAGCTCTCGCTCTCTTTTTCTTCCGGGGGACCGAAGGTGAAGGTAGCTTTGCTGTCGCTCTGCCCGGGTGAGGGAGTGAGGCCTAGCGCATCTGGTTGGCCTTAAGAGGCAGACAGTGTTGGCGGTTGTTTGGTGCAGTTCACTGTGTCTCTTGAGGGAAGTATTTGCTTTGTATCCCTTTTTACCCCTTTTTCCCTTTTGGGGGGTTCCCTGTGGGTGTAATAGTGTATATCATTTTCTTTATATATATATAAATCTTCCACTTGAAATTTAGTTCGGTTTGGGTTCTTTTGATTTTCTTTTTCATGATCTTTTCAGTCAGCTGGGAGAGAGTGAGAGGGAGGGGGAAGGTTTTGTCCCTGGGGTCCGGGCACTTGGCTGGGAGCCAAGTCCAACCTGGGACATTTTTTGGAGGTTCCACCGAGACTACCAGTAGGTTGTTTTGGTAACAATTTCTGGGCAGGTGGCCAAGTTCTGCCAAACACTGACTTTGTTTGGGAACAGTGCCGGGATCGCAGTCAAGAGAGATTTGTTTATATAAATATACCTCTTGTTTAAGAACAGTGAGGACAACTATATAAATAATGGCCACTTTCTTAATTTTTAATGTACTTTTAGCAGCTTTTGCACCTGTTTTAGGTTACTACATGTGGGACAATCCAAATCCAACGGTGTTCAATTGGCGAGACATTTGGGAAAGGTATTCTTCCTATTTTGATGTTAAACGTTGGATGCTAGAAATTCCCAAACTGACTGTTGCCTCCAACGATTATCTAAATTGTGTGGCAACAATTTTGTTTATGATGAATGTGATGAACATGCTATTTAAAATTGGAAGGATTGTGTTACACTGGTTTCCTTGTTATAGGAAAGGCCGTACCTCAAAGGGATTAGCTGGAGCTTTGGAAAGGGGCTTGAAAAGGGCAGTTCCTGGTTGGCAAGGAGCATGGGAAGAGTTTGGTAAATGGATAGGGCGCCTGGCACCTCCCATTACTTGGGACTTCACGCCAGCACAGGCCTTTGATCCTAATGAGATAACCCATCGTTTAATGGAAGGTTGTCTTACATACAAAGATCCAAATACCCAAATCTCTGCTCTATGCTGGGGCCTGGCTAGTGCTTATCGAGCCACTGTAGATCATGTTCAGAAGGCTAAGGCGGAGACAGGGACACAAACTATGCCAGTCGGAATGGAGTCCACCAAGACCAGAGTCCAGACGCCACTTGAAGCCAGCACAGTTTGGACCAAACCTGCTGACACTGGAGTTCCAATTATGGACTTTATGAACATGGGAACTCCAGCCACCTCTATGACCAAGACTGGGGCCCACACCACAGATCCTGAAATCACTATTGCCCCCATAACAAAAAAGAAGATGTGGATAAGGGATGATGCAGGGTCCACAAGCCTAGCCCCACGACTGAGGCGTGTAACTGAAGAAGAAGAAGAACTAGCTGTGAGAGAAGGAGCACGTCCCAAGGAATTAGGGGCGCGTCCAAAAGAGAGGGTGACGCGTCCGAAGGAAGAAGAGGCAGCAGCTCAGATGCCTGATGGAACACAAAAGCCAAGGAGAATGTTGACACCTGAATACACTCTTCTTAACTGTTCCACAGAAGAGATGGAGGACTATCTGAAATCCTCATCCCAGGGTCCAGAGGACTACTCGTTACCTCCACCCGCGAGAAGCCCATCCAGGCGCCGTGCTCGGTCCCCATCTCCACAAGCCAGAAAACCATCCCTGCAGCAGACACAGCCCCCGCCTCAACCTCCACAACACAGAAGCCCATCCCCGAGGCATGTTCCGTTTCCACCTCCACGTGAGAGAGGCAGAGTGGAAACAGTTCCACACAGATACGTCAAAAGAGAAGTGGAAATGGATAGGAGGGATGTCCATCCAGAAGCGGGAGTCGTGAGAACATCGGAAGTATTACGATCATTGACCCCAGCAGAGCTCCGGGATTTGAGAAAAGATTATAGTCGCCGGCCTGGTGAGCGGATTCTAACCTGGCTGGTAAGATGTTGGGATAATGGAGCTAGAAGCCACATGCTGGAAGGTCACGAAGCACAGCAGTTGGGATCCCTGGCTCGAGACCGTGAGATTGAACAAGGAATTGCACGAGAGCCATATAGTCATAGTCTCTGGCTTAGGATCCTTAATGTTGTGAGAGAGAGATATCCATTTAAAGAGTACTTAACAAGTTCTCCAGGAAAATGGACAACTGCGGAAGAAGGTATTCAGTATCTACGGGAACTGGCCATGCTTGAACTCATCTTTAGTAATCCGGATTATTATGATATCTTAGACCCTGCGAGTCTCCCATGTACCAATCCAATGTGGAGAAAAGCAATTAAAGGTGCCCCTGCACAATACATCAACTGCCTAATTTCAGCCTTCCATCCAAAGTTGGATGAACCGGATGTAGAAACAATGTGTCAATGGATACAGAGCATAGCGGAAAATTTCGAAGATCTGTCCGATGTCCGACGTCAACCCATCTGCTCTAAGGGAAGAATGGAAGGAGATTATGAATATTCCAATTATGAAGATGACTACGAAGACAGAGATGACAGAGTTTCCCGAGACTACAGAGACACACCAGTAAAGCGATCTAGACCACGAGCTCGACCTCAATCTCGATCTTGGTCCAGATCTCGGTCAACAACTCCTCCCCCTACACACAGAAGGAAGGGCCCTAAACGCGAATCACGTAATCAGCTGTGGTCCTACCTCTGCAAACAGGGAGAGAACATGAAGAAATGGGATGGACAACCCACTTCCAAACTTCAGGCCAGAGTGAAAGAGCTAAAGCAGAAAGAAGCCAATAAGAAACTTGTCTTTGTAGTTGATGCGGATTTCGTGGAAAAACAATTGCAATCCCCACAACACAAGAAGGCTGAAGTCCACTTTCCTGACAACAAGAAGGCTGCTGGTGGAGCAAAGAGAATATCTGACACTGAATGCTCTGACAAGGACCAACAGAGGGGCCCTGCCTTCTGCCAGGAGAAGGAAAGGGACCAGAAGGATAATCGGGTTTACTGGGCTGTGTGGTTTTGATGGCCTGGCACATTGGATCCACAGAGATACCAGGCTTTGATAGATACCGGTGCCCAGTGTACACTAATGCTGTCTGAACACAAGACTAAGGAGATTGTGTCTATTTCTGGAGTGACAGGAGGGTCGCAAGAGTTGTCAGTGGTAGAGGCTGAAGTAAGCTTGACTGGAGACCAATGGGAAAAGCATCCCATTGTGACAGGGCCAGAAGCCCCCTGTATCCTTGGTATTGATTACCTGAGAAGAAGATACTTCAAGGACCCGAAGGGGTACCGATGGGCTTTCGGTGTAGCCACGGTGACTGAGGAGAAATCCAAGCAATTGTCTGCCCTGCCTGGTCTCTCAGAAGATCCTTCTGTTGTAGGACTCCTGCGAGTCAATAATCAACAAGTACCGATAGACACTTCAACAGTGCATAGGTGACAATACCAGACCAATCGAGATGCTGTGATCCCTATTCATAAGATGATAGAGAAGTTGGAGAGTCAAGGGGTGGTCAGTAAGACTCACTCACCCTTCAACAGCCCCATTTGGCCTGTATGCAAATCCGATGGTAAATGGAGACTGACGGTAGACTATCGTGGTTTGAATGAAGTCACACCGCCATTGAGTGCTGCTATACCAGATATGCTGGAGCTCCAGTACGAGCTGGAGTCCAAGACAGCGAAGTGGTATGCTACCATTGATATAGCAAATGCATTTTTCTCCATTCCCTTGGCAGAAGAGTGCAGGCCGCAGTTTGCTTTCATGTGGAGGGGCGTGCAATATACCTGGAATTGACTGCCCCAGGGGTGGAAACACAGTCCCACCATCTGTCATGGGTTAATTCCTGTCATTAGACATTGGTTTAACTGTTTCACAGTTTTGGGAGTCCCAAAAACTATAAAAAACAGTAACGGTCCTGCTTACTGCTTGTCGAAAGTTAAAACATTTCTCACAGATTGGGGTCTATCTCACATTACAGGCATCCCATACTCACCCACAGGACAAGCTATTGTAGCGAGAGCACACCACACATTAAAAGGAATGCTACAAAAACAAAAAAAAGGGGGAATCCATCCATAGTCCACAGGAATGCTTGTAGAAAGCATTATATGTCCTGAACTTTTTAAACTGTGATGACACAGGTTACAGTGGATACGAGTGTCAATGTGAGTCCAAGGTGCTATCCTCTCCCAAACCACTGGTCATGACAAAAGACTTAATATCAGGACCGGTGGACCTCGTGACCTGGGGGGAGAGGATATGCATGCATATCCACAGATACTCAGTTAAGATGGATCCCCTCCAGGTGTGTCAGGTCTTTTGTTAATTCCTCTTCAGAACAAGAACAATCACTAGAAATGACAAGTGATGAAATTGAAGTAGAAGGAACACACAAGTCAATGACTGCTGATAATTTATACTTACAGTTGAAATGCAAATACAGAATAAGGATTTTAAATGTGTGCATGAAGTGTGGGTGTGGCAGCCACCTGCTTGAGTGGAAAGATGTGTGTGTGAATTCAAGAGCGCTTCATATCAATAACTGCCTCAAATAAAAGTACAATTATACAACAATATACCTCAACCACTCCAGTGTCCCCAGATGACAGTTAAGCACAATACTCATACCCTAACACATTTCCCCTTAAAATAAAGCTGATGTTTTTCACCCAGTTACATACATACCCTCAGATAAAAGTCCTACACGACCCACCTGTTAAAAACCCTGGATTAATGAAAGTTACACGGTTAGTGAAATTACTTAGCATGTAGCGTAGTTCATTCTAATAAAGGCCTTTTAGGTTTAATTCATAAAAGCGAGGGATGTGTGGGATTACGAGCAAGTTAATACAGGATATCTATTACGTAATTGTTGTGGTGTACACTGGGAGTTAAGTCCCAATGGAAGCTTGCAAAAGGATGACCAATTATGGGTGCCCCAGGAAGAAGCCTTGAAGTGATTGGACAGGATTGTGTTCACTCCCCCCACATTTTGTAACCACGCCTTTTTTGAATATAGGAACTTGTTCGGTTTTAATAAAGTAGTCTCTCCATTTTCACCATCCCAGGAGGGTCATGTTTTTATTCACTGCCACAGGCCCTGATTTGTATAGCTAGTTAAGATAAGGTGGTTTTATGTTAAGAAAAGTTTAAGAGTGTTACTGTTCTGTAACTTGTTATTATAATAAAGAAGGGGGATACGTGGGGAAAGGTTAACCCTTTACAGGAAGATTGTCAGAAGGAAGGATGGGAAATGTAGTCTCTGCAACAGGTGCCCAAAGAGAGTGCTTGACTGTGCACGCCCACTAGACAGGTTCAAGAATGATCGGTTGGGAATAGCACGTGTTCTATGGTGACATAACCTCTTATGTAATTGAGGGGTATGAAAACCTGGGCTTGACCGTTAATAAATGATTTACCAGCTTGCCCTCCATCTGCTGGGTCCGTGTCTGTCACTCATGTATGCGGTGAACAAAATAGCACCTATGTCTCCACCGGCTAACAAGACAGAAACACAAGCTTTCCTAGGCCTTGTGGGTTTCTAGAGGATGCACATTCCAGGTTACAGTCAGCTTGTGAGCCCCCTCTATTGACCCTTTTGAGTGGGGTCTTGAGCAACAACAGGCCTTTGAGCAGATCAAACAGGAGATACTCGTGCAGTAACTCTGGGGCCTGTTCGTACAGGACCAGCTGTGCAAAATATCCTCTACACAGCACCTGGGAAACATGGTCTCACCTGGAGCCTCTGGCAGAGAACACCATGAGAAACCCACGGTTGACCATTGGGGTTTTAGAGGTGGGGTTATTGAGGATCAGAAACCCACTACATGCCAACTGAAAAGGAGATATTAGCAGCCTATGAGGGCGTTCAAGCCGCCTCAGAAGTTGCTGGAACAGAAGCATGTCTCCTCTTGGCAATGCGGTTGCACTGGATGTTCAAAGGGAACATTCCCTCAACACATCATGCAACCAGTGCTACAGGGAGCAAGTGGGCAGCTTTGATCACACAGCAAGCCTGAATGGGAAAACCCAATTTCCTGGGAATCCTGGAAGAGATTATGGACTGGTCAGAAGGCAGAGGTTTTGGAGCATTGCCTGAAAAGGTGACTCGTGCCCAAGAAGCACCACCATATAATGAGTTACCAGAAAATGAAAGAGGCTATATTTGCTGATGGATCTTGCCATGTGGTAGGAAACCATCCGAGGTAGAAATCTGCTGTGTGGAGTCCCACACGTAAGGTTGTTGAAGCTACTGGAGGAGAGGAAGAATCAAGCCAGTTTGCAGAAGTGAAAGCCATTCAACTAGCCCTAAAGACTGCTGAATGAAAAAAGTAGTCTGTGCTATACCCCTATACTGACTCTAGGATGGTGGCTAATGCCCTATGGGGGTGACTACAGCAATGGAAAAAGGTCAGCTGGCAACGCAGGGGTAAACCCATCTGGGCTGCTGCATTGTGGCAGAACATCGCTGCACAGGTGGAAAACATGACTCTGAAGGTGTGTCATGTCGATGCTCACATGCCCAAAGGTCGTGCCACTGAAGAATATCAGAAAAATGAGTAGGTGGATAAAGCTGTCAACATTGGATAGCTCAGGTAGACTTGGACTGGGAGCGCAAGGGTGAGCTATTTATAGCATGATGGGCCCAAGAAACATCAGGGACATCGAGGAAGAGATGTGACGTATAGATGGGCTTGTGATTGAGGGATAGACCCGACCATGGAGGCCATTACACATTATTCACAAGTGTGAAGCATGCAGAAATCAAGCGAGCCACGTGAGTAAAATCTCCTTAGAATAGAATAGAGGGCGGTGGCTGGGCTTCCAGTACAGCGAGGCCTGGCAAACTGACTGCACTGGAACACTGCCACAAACATACCAAGGCAAGAGCTACATACTCACCATGGTGGAGGCAACAACTGGCTGTCTGGAAACATTTCCTATAAACCAGGTCACTGCTCGAAACACCATTGTAAACCTCGAGAGACACATTCTGTGGTGACACAGGACCCCAGAGAAAATTATATCACATTATGGGACTCTCAGAATAACCTTATAAGCTCCTGGGCAAAGAAACATGGCATTGAGTGGATCTATCACATCCTTTATCACCCACAAGCATCTGTAAAGACTGAGAGGTATAATGGACTGTTGAAGACTATGTTAAGAGCATCAGTTAATGGGACACGGAAGCATTGGGAGGCAAATTTAGCTCAAGCCACTTGGCTGATCCACACTAGGGGATCTGCCAACTGCCCTGGTCCATTATTCTATACCATTTGAGTATGACGCAAATGGTATGGAATAAGAGGTGGAGGTTCTATTTCATCTGGTTGAGCTGGAGTTCATTTCCCCACACAGCCCTCACAGTGCTGTGCTTTGCATTGGTGGCTAGAAGGGTGTTGATAATACACCAGTGTTTTGGCTACTGCTGAGCACAGCATCAGCACTGTAGCATTCCTTCTGGAAGGGGACACAAGTAGGCCAGATGACCCAAACTATCCAAAGGGATATTCCATACCACATGACACCAGCTTAGATATAAAATCTAAGGAAAGGAGCAGGAAGGGGGGAATTCATTGTTTCCAATGGCTGCCTGCTAAGAAACCACTATGTGTTTTCAAAGCCCTGTTTCCCGGGAAGTGGCTGGACATTGCTGCTAGTGGGAAGTAGAGAATAAACCTTTTTAATTTTTCTCTTTGCTTTTGCGCGCACAAGCTTTTACTTTTTTGCTTTAGTAAAGTGCCTTATCCCAAACCACAAGTTGTTTTCCATCTTATTCTCCCTCTGTTTTTCTGGCTGGGAAGGAGAGTGATAGAGCGACTGGATGGACACTTGGTGTGCAGCCAAGGTCAACCCACCACACTCTGTCACCCTCTGATGCCAGTGCCAGGCTCTGGCACACCCTGCAGGCTCTTGAGCACTAATACAGATGTCTGAAGTCTAAGTGATTGAGCAAATGTCTGTTGTGGATATTAATGTTCAAGTAGCCTTAAATCTGCCAAAAGAAAATGAAGGATATTCTAGGTATTTACACGTGCTTTAAAGATACTGAGTACCAAATGAACTGGTCTTATGCACAGAGGACCCTGTAGAAATAGCTGATACTTTCACATATAAAAGCTTCACATTTTTAAATAAAATATAGATTCCCTCCCACAAACTCCAAGTTACTCACACATCTATGTAAAAGGTTCTAGGTTGTTCTGTTACCTTGGGCTTTGGTATTAGTCTTTTAAGTGTATGAGCCTGGGAAATTAAAGAAGCTCTAAAGCAACAGTCAACCTCACCTGAAGCTGTTACATAGCAGAATCACAAATTAAAGTGCTTGCTTCCAACTTTGAAATATGATCTACAGATTATAAACAAAAAAAATTATTAATTTCTCTTACGGACTTACTAATTCTACTATTCACTTTTCCTAAAATTAAGTACATCCCAAATGCCATTACTGATGAATCACATTTGCTTTCTTGTGCTTTAAACATAGGTACTCCAAGATTGTTTCCTTCCTGGTCCATTACAGTCTATATCTTTGACTCTAAAAGGCTCTAGTAAATAATGCATTGAAGAGATAATAAGTCTCCTTCCCCCTTTTTATAAAAACACTAGCTAAAAATACATTTCCCAATTACTGGTTTTAACTCCCAGTGTTCCCTCAGAAAAAAAATCTCCCATTTGTTTTTATGCCCCAAAAGGAAACACAGTTGTAACTTAGACTTTAAAAGAAAACAAGTGAATCAGAAATTATATAAAGTTTACCAATCATTCGAAGAAAGTAGAGGTTTGCCAGAAGTCAGTATTAGAAGAAAATACTTTTTGATCTTACTACTGTTTAGATAACTGTAACTTCTCTCGGCTTTCTTTTTACACTCTCTAGTCGTGTCAGAGGACGGAAATTCATTGACTTCTTGCTTCCCTCTGTAGTAGTTAATCGGCAGTCCTTCTGCAGCCCCTTTAGCAGCTCCATTAACTCCCGTTTTTCCAGCTCTGCCTGCTCCAGCTCCTGACGGTGCTGTCTCTCCGCAGCCATCAGAGAGCGTACATCTGACATCAATCGTGATATCTGACTCTGAAATGCAAATGCAAGTTTACTGCAAGAAACAAACCCTTTTCTAATGACGGTGGGATGAAGTTGAACAGGCCATGCATATAGAACAATGGATTACGAAGAATAAGCAACACTGAAAGTATTTTTTGATAGTAGAGCAAATATAAACAATCTGAGACAATCCAGCATTCCCCTTCTGGGATTGTCTTGTTTTAAAGATTCCAATAACTTTTCAAAAAGTTTCTTGTAAAGTATGATAAGAAACAGCAGATTTACCCAGTTCCTGCTTATACTTTCTATTTCAAGACCCCAGTCAAAATAAAGTTTTGGTTATGTTCAGATACATTCTTCATGGATTTAACATCAAATCCGGCAGAAACTAACATTTAAACTATAAAGCACATCCATTGCTTTGGGCTTTAAAAATTATTAGTCTGCGATAAAACAACAACTAGATGACTGAAAAGATAAGGTGGCCTTGCTAATTTTTACTCGATGACGTTTATGGTGCAACTTTCCAACCTTCTGACACAGCTGGAACACAGTGTAAACACCACCATGGGCAGCAGTGCTCTGTGTCAGCTCTGGATTAAGCCACTTTGGATAGCATCAAGAAAACGAGTTGGATATTTAATTACACCCGATTTGTGATCTCTGCCCTGAGTTTATAGATACTGAAAATCTACAATGTTACATACGTGCAGAACATTGCAGTCCTTGCAGGGGGTACCCAGGTGAGCTTCAAGTGAACTTGAAGCAGATAAACCATGAGAATACAGCACTCAGACCTGGTTAACCTGACAAAGCTTTGCCACTTTTGCTTCCCATATTTAATGTCATTCTCCTCTGTATGAGACTTTATTTACAAAATAAGATATTGCTATCAGTAAAAAAGATAAACTGTTAAGAGAGAAAAAAAAAAAAGGAAAATGATCATATTTACCTTTAGTTCTTCAATTTCATTTTGCAGAATACTCTCTTTTTGGACCATATGCCTTCTCTGTGAATCTAACCTTGACTCCATCTCATGTTTTGCCTCCTCCACTCTGCAGATCATTTCTGACCTAAAAAGTTTATTTCTCCTTGTTAAGCCTTGTAAGTATGGAAAAAATTCCAGAAAGCCTTCTTGCAACTAAATGGCCTGATATGATTCCTTCAAACTCTATAAGGCACACCTCTAGAGGCATGATTTATTAATTAAAAAAAAAAAAAAATCATAAAGAAGTGCATCTTGCCCAAGGGTACTAAAGTGCCCATGAACAGCCTATAGAGGGTCAACTGCATCATATTCCTGAAGCAGTTGTATGAGCTCAAAAACACCAAACCTAATCACTCAAACAGCTTCACATCCAAAAACTAGCTGGTACTACATTAAACTTCTGAGTTCAGAAATAGGTATCAGAATCCCTTGTGTCTCAATGCATTTAAACCATATTTGAGCCTGACTTCACAGAAAATGGGAAGGAGCATGAGAAAGCTACAGAGCTACAGAAACATACATGAGAGGAAAAGGAATATGTTGGTAAGAAGAGTCATATTCACTGACTGTTATTTATCCATCAGAACTTTAACAGAAAATGACAATTAGATCTTCAGCAATTTAATCTACCTGTACCTGCAAAAATAATTATGAATTTTTATACTCTGCATCCGTAAAAACATAAATTTAATATAATTATTAAACAACATGACTTTGCGTCTGTAACAGGTCAACAGAAAAATTAGATCGCCATCTCAAGTCCAGTTTTCTTAGGTTTTTTGTCATTTTATATAGTAAGCTCACAGTTTTGTTCAACTGCAAGCAATAGTATTTTATGATTTATAGCAACATACACAAAAAAAACAAAAAAGAAAAAGAATCAAACCATCAAGAATTTGAAGTCTATGCTGACACATAATAAAACTCTGGCCCGTTAGTATCGAGTAATTAATGGACCATTTAACACACACCAGGATCCAGTACTAGTATATGAAGTGCTTTATGCAGTGACTTCAAGCCCAGACTAACAGAAACACCAAAGAAGCAGAAGATTTGTACCGAAGCAGTTCCAGCTCCGTTCTTAGCTCTGCTACACAGTTGTGCTGCGTGTCTTCCGCGCTGAGAATGGTGTAACCACAGCCATTGGGGCACTCCCGGCTCCGGTACTCACACACGGCCAGGTGACCATCCAAGTTACGCCGCTCGATCTGCACTGTACAGCCTGAACAGGGACGAGGAAGGTAAGCCAGTCAGTTACAACCAACAGAAGCATTCTGATGAATTCCAAACAAAAACACTCAAGAAAGGAAGCTGAAAAAAATTATTTCTTTAGAACATGAAATATGACAGTTATACATAGCTCATAATACAACACTGTTAAGAAATCTTAAGATATTTATCCATTAACTGAAAAGAGAGGTTGGAAGGAGGTATTTTATTTTCTGTAAAGTCTTCTACTGCTGGTCTGGCATTAAAGCAACTTCAGTAATGATAATGCCAATGTCAACCTAAGACACTGGCAGCTTGCATGTGCTTCCATTACAGACTGCAGAGACTGAAATTGATGAAGAATGCACATGTCTAAAAAAATATTAGGTTCTCAAATTTAGGGAAAAAATCCCAAAGATATGTAGTAAGAGAGATGTGGGTGAGATGGAATGTAACCTTGTTTTCCTACAGTTTGTTGGTCTTGTCTATAATGTACTGGACCACATAAATAAGAAAGAACATTTACATATGAACATTCAATACCTCATACAAGAACTCAAACATTTCCACAGAAATTCTAGGATACACACTTTGCAATTCCAGAGTGAATAAAAGTAAAATGTAAAGAATAAAAATGAACACTATATATAAATTACTGTTACATTTAACATTCTCAATGTGAAGTTTGTAGTCTTAACATTTAATCTTTGAGGACCTGTGTGCTGTAATACACAATTGCATTTAATTTGAAGTGAAAATCAACAATAAGGGAAATATGAAAAATCAACATAAGGGAACTGAAAGAGAGTAATGAAACTTTCCAACAAACCTTATCAGAAAATGACAAAAGAGCCCTCTAGAAGAGCTTTACTAATAAATATAATGATTTGTAATTGAGGTACTCAAAATACACTCCAGTGTATTCTTGGGAGAGCGTTCAAGAGATGTAAGAGCCCTCACATTCTGAACACCAGACATCAGGTGTGGTAACTCTCTAGACACTGTTTCTGTAGAAAGTAGACAGGTGAATCTGAAGCATCTGCAGGAGCCACTTACTGCTGAGAGAAATTATAACTTCCAGTACAGCAATTCTAGCACCTTAATCATCTCATAATTAATTATAATGGCAGACTCAACTATGCCCTTAGCATTATTAATTAGAAATTAACTTTATCTAGAAACATACAACATTTTGAATGAGATCAACTGGGAAATTTTAGCAATATGTTCCTTTTTAAAGGTGTAAGCTTGTTTTAAATAAGCATCTTGGCATGAACACAATTCTAATCAGAATTTAGCTTAGAACAATTGTGATTTCTGAGACACATTTTTGTTAAAACCACAGGACAGAGCGAGCACCAGGTAACCAGTTGTTATACAAATAAATTGTGAGCCATAAGTGTTCTGCAGGTGCTACTGCACTCATTCAAACATCGGAACATCCGGTCAGAATTGCAAAGCAAATGCATTAAAACATTTCATACATTTGAAGTCCATCATACTGATCCATTTTGATTAGTTCTCAGATAAGAAATACTTTAAATCATCATGGCTGCCATAAATCAGTACCATGTTTTGTTCAAAAACAATGCTGTAAAGAGCAGGTCATGCCAAAGCTTTGAATTTCTGTTTGAAAACAATGGCTGTTACTGCAGTTCTGTCGACCGGAAGATGACAAACACGTTTTGTAAACATAAAGGATTTAACTTCTTTGAATGTTACTCACCAGCATTGGAGCAAGGAATCTGACTGTATTCACACTCCCTTTCATGCCTGTCTATAGACTCCAGAGAACAAACCATTTCACAGCCGTACTCTCTGTTTCTGCAATGCAGCTGAAGACGGTTCAAATCATTTTTCATGTATCTACAATGCAAAGAAAAAGAATTTGTTCTTAAATCTTGGAATGTTATTACAAAACCTTATTTTCAGGTTAGGAAAAATTGTGAGAAACTAGTTTAATTTTTTAAAAAGAATTCAAGTGACCATATCAGAAAAAAACCAGCTTGAAAGAAACAATGTTAATGGAAAATTCAGTCTCCCAAACTAAATGTGCAAAGGAAATCTTTATTTTTGAATAATTTTTAACTGTGACCTTTCACTGACTCAGCAGATATTGCCAATAACAAACACCAGGACTACTAACTCATCGTTTAAGTGTATTTCTAAATGTGTTAAACTAAACAGACTATAGTGAGTACAGACAGAATAATCTAAAAATTAAACTCTAGTGCACTGTCTACACTGCAGTTAACTTCCACACAGTAAAATCTCATTAATAACAAAACTATGTTGTGAGTACTAATGAAGTAAATTTAACACCTGCAGCTGAAGACTAAACACAACATAATGCTTAATCTGAGTAAGATTAGACAATGCAGGTATTAAACATCAAGCAGCATCTACTGATGAAACTCTGTTGTGCTGGCAATAGCAGGAATTAAGAGTTTAAAACAGAATGGTTTGTTTGGAAAGGACCAGCAACAATAATCATCTAGTCCAACTGCATGACCAGTTATGGAAGGCACTTGTGAAAACAGCCTGCTTTACATGGCAAGGTGGCTCACAAAGGCATTCTTTTGTCTCAAGATTTTATTTTTTTTTAAGAATTTGAAGGTCATATCTCCAGGAATTATTCATTACAAACCCCACTACAGTATGTAGATAAGACAAAAAAATATACAGTGTAGTGACTGTTGTCCAGAGTTGCTTTGCTTGCTTTCTCTAAAATAAAGTATGGAATGTTTTGATGCTGTAGAAGGCATTTAGAATAATGTCCAGACAGGTATCTAGAAATGACATTCAAGATATAAAAAGGTGGAGAACAAAAGACGTATTCCTTCAATTTTGAAATTTAAACACCCTAAAAGATAGTTATAATAAATAGGAAATGCTAATGCCTTTATGCATATAATCAGTTTCTGCCACAGGCATACTGGATAAAGACAGCTGGAGTGAGTAAATAAAAAGAGATGAGGTTGTGCAAGCAAAACTGATAAATCCTAAATTCACATAATTTCAACATACAGCAAGATTGTGGAATACCTGTAGAGAGGCCGTAGCAAAGACACATCAATCACTTGTCTGTCTTCGGGGCAGTTACTGTGATGAACAAGCCAGCCATGGATGCAGGCAGTGCAGAAGGCGTGTTCGCAGGGAGCCTGCAATGGATCCTCCAACACGTCCCGGCAGATGGAGCACAACAGCCCCTCGTTAACGTAGCCCACGAAACGCTCAATGTCATAACCCATGCTCTCCACACACTTTCAATCTATTGAAAAAAAAAACCCTGCATAGAATTAAAGCCATCTTTGTGCTCAATCTGTGTGGTTAGATACACAAAAAGGCCTGAAAGCAACTCTAGGAACACAGGGGCCTTAACGTGAATAAAGAACTTCACAGGTGTGAATGCAAACACATACTTTGGAGACCTTGAGGTTTCAGTGAGAATTTGAGGATTGTACTGCTGGATGTCAGGATTCCAATTTTATATCCATATTTTCTGAATTCTGAAAGCAAAAATGTTAGTAGACGGTTGAGCTACACTTCTTCTAAACTCTGTTATTGAACATAACTGTAGCAGCCACTATGAAACAAACACTTTCTGTTTACATGGACTCTACCTGAAGCAGAAACATCACTGAAGTTCAAATGCAAATGTCTGCTTTCCATTTTAATGCCTTTTATGTAATGCCTTACAAGCTTACAAAACTGTGCCCTTACAGACAATAGCTGTGGCACTTTCAATGAGCAGATCATGTATTTATGAACCGTACATCTCTTAAAATGTGAATTTCATACTATGGTACTGCCAAAAAAAAAAGACTAAGATTCTCTGTTCAGACTTCCATTGCAGAGGGAACAGCATGAAATCTCCACATGCCTAAAGAAATACTTAATATTCAGGAAGTAAAAGAAGCCAAAACTGCAGCTAACCCTGAAATCACGAGGAGGTACAGTCTTCTCCCACATGGTCTATTTAATAAAATGGAGTAGCCTTTAAAGGGATTTGAAAGTTTTGTGAAGAAGAACTAATGGGCAATCTGCCTTCATCAAAATCCTATAATGAAAAGCCTAGTGAAACTCAATTAAGACTCCACAGAACTCATTTAAAAGAATGTTTTAGGTTCCATATTGCTCCTTAACATACAAAACTACTTTTCAATCCCACTGAGACTTGTAGAAGAGGTTTTCATTAGTTATGAGGTTTTCTAAAAAAAAGCAGAAACAGAAGACATCCTACCTTTGTAGATTTTACTACGTATATATGTAGTTTGTATATATATTTCTGAAGTATACTTCAGAAACAGTTTTCTGATCAGTAAGGCATGTAATACCTCCTTCAGTTTCTCTTCACTGCTTTATTATGCCTGTGGGAAAAATTAGAAAGAGTAAGGTTCAGTAGTGTTTCCTAAGTTACTGAGTCCTATGTCTAACCAGTCAGCTACTGGTTAGACATAGATGCTATCCTAACAGCCCATTAAAACCAAGTTTTCCAAAGCAAGTCACTGAAAAACCTACAGCATAAGAGATCTGACTAGACTGTGGGGGAAAAAAAAAATCATCAGTCTCTCTTTCGGTTATTACTGATGCAGATATTTAGCACATAACTGAACACCCTGCTGCCACTCAATTTTGAAGCCAGTTTCGTTTGTAAGACAACAGAATTCAATATTATTGAAAAGTAGCAACTGAAATCTGGTAAAATTATATTCCTCAAAAAGATGGAAGTTTCTAATCTAATCTGTTTTGAACTGGGTATGACATGCAGGTAATTTTTAAAATAAAACTATTATAGTCAAGTTCATTGCACTGACAAATATCATTGCTCTGATGTGTAGCATAACTTGCTACATAAGCTTGCTCACTTAAAAAAAGTATAGCAAAACATAAAAGATGTCATTACTTGTATGTCTTAAATTGATAAATAGCGATTGCAAGGATCTCTAAGGACTAATGTCAAATTTTGTTCTGAAGAGAAAAAACAACTCCACAATTCCTCTTCATGAAAACAACATAAAACTAGAATTCAGAAGTTTTTATGGATCTGAGTAGCAAAGTGTATCTTCACTGATTACAAAATGAGTTGTGTTACAAGGGCATTTGCTAAGACTAAAGTTAATAAAAGCCATAATAGTAGCACACATAACACAAGCAGGTGTGCACATTACTCAAACACAAAACACATCATCTGCTGCTTCGTTTCTGTATTGTGCTATGTTTCTACTGGCACGTTTATGGCACAGCCAGCACCAAGGCTTGCAGAGGTGCTTGAGCCAGTTTTAGATTAGCTGGGACACCTATAAGCCATGAGACCTACTGAGTGTTGCCACAAAAGCAGGGAGCACAATCCACAGACTCCTGACCATGTCCACAGCACATTTTACAGGCTATGTTTAACTCTGTGCTTCTGTGGCTACACTATCACCAACAACACAGGCAAGCTAAATTTACAGGTATCTGGGCTATGCTGTTTCTTCCTCCACAGCACCGACATTCTATGTTTTAAAAGGAGTCTTTTTTAGCTTATCATCTTAGAAGATGATAAACAATTATTTTTACAGTGTTGCTCCCTGCATGTTTTACAGGTTTCCTGCAGACAGAAAACTCAGGATTTTGCCAGTTCAGTGTGAACAAAATGTCATCTTTGCACAAAGCTGTGATTGTAAGGAAAGCAAGGATCACAAGGGAATGTTTAAAAAGCAGAGAACAGTGCTAATTATCGGTAAGGAGAACATGAAATCAAACATCAGTTTCCAGTACTGATGAAAATATTGAAACATACAGTATGCTTGTGCTGGAGGACTGTTAAACAGCATACATAGATTCAGTACTTTGAACCATGAGCCTATATTTTGATTTGGTTTGGTGAATCCCAGAGGATTCCGCTTTTAGAAAACTTTTAAGGATGCATAAAAGAAGTCAACAAAACTGTAAGTATTTTTGCTGTCCTAGAGTCTCTGTTCACTGGAACTGTGGATGCTGTAAGCTACATTTTGCACATACATTGCTGATCCCTGAGGACCAAGTCTTCAAGAGACTCTTTGGCATATTTTAGCAAGTTTGAAGTCTAACAGAACACAAGAAAGAATATTTTTATCAAAAGGAAGAAAAACTTTATTTGTGCCTGACAGAAAAATGAAGTGCAACAAATACAGATATATGTATATAAATAAATATATGTCTGTATAAAGCCCCAAACAAAACTGTAGTTCAAATGAAGAGTGGATGGGAACTTTGAGGCAAAAAAACACACTGAGGGGCATTCTAAAGATAATGTCCCAGCTGTTACTGAAGTGCCAGACCTCTTCCAGTAGAATTTTCTTGACCTGAAGAACCAGAGAAGTCTTATCTTCTTGCAAACTTCAAGAGATAAACTTTAGAGAAAGGCAGAGACAGTATCAGATGAATGCCACTCTAAGAGTACAGATGACTTTAATCAGTAGTTCCACCACAAAATGAGCTAATTTACAGCCTCTGCTCATTCCCACATACTTCTCCTTCCTCCACTTGGCCTCAAGACTTTTTGTATTACAATTCACCAATTGTTACTCTCACTCTCGTTTTTTGTTTTCACCTAGAAACAATTTTGTTGACAGTTGTTAGTTGTTTAGCTTAAATAAATAATTTTAAATAGAATAAGCCTCTTGATATAGTTACAACACTGTGTGATTTAGTATGCTGTTTACTTGCTTATTATGAGTAAGCTTGAGTTGCTGGAAGCCTGAGGACACAAACTGTGGACTTTCACACAGATATGCTTTTGGCTGGAACACAGTTAATTTTCTTAGGAATTTTCCTAGTAACCAGTACAGTGCTGTGTTCAGTCTTTAGAATTAGAAGAATGTTGCAACACACTGATGTTTTAGTTGTTGCTAAGTAATGTTTATCCTAAGTCTAGGACTTTCCCATGCTCTGCCAGGGAGCAGGTGCACAAGTAGCACAAAACAGAAGATAAGGAGCTCACAGCCATCAGAAGCTGCAACTCCACACAGTAAGAACAGTTAATGGCTTGCCTGCACGCAGATGGAGAGAAAATCCACCAAGGTGTTGGAAGACCCCAGACCACAAAGCACCAAGACTAGCAAGGCACATGAAGAACACATGGGGGAGGATGAATAAATTGTAAAGGGTATAATTGCACAGGGATGCCTTTGCCTGGGAGAAAAAAGATAAACTATTACATGGTATTTGCTTTCCGTTGTTTCACATATATTTTATTCTCCCCACCATCACTTTTGACAAGCAAAAATCTCCTCTAGACTTCATAGGTATTAACTTTTCAGCAACTGTCATCCCATGTTGTTTTGGAATGGACTGGAGCACAAGTCCTGGGAGGAACGGCTGAGGGAGTTGGGCTTGTTTAACCTGGAGAAAAGGAGGTTCAGACCTTATAACTCTACAACTCACAGAAGGTTATCCCCAAGGGGGGGTTGGCCTCTTCTCCAAGTAACAAGCAAGAGGACAAGAGGACTTAGGCTTAAGGGAGAGGTTTAGGTTGGACATTAGGAAGAATTTCTTCACAGAAAGGGCAATTAAACATTGGAACAGACTGCCCAAGGAGATGGCGGTGTCACCATTCCCTGAGGTGTTTAAGGAAAGACTGGATGTGGTACTCAGTGCCATGATCTAGTTGACAAGGTGGTCTTTGCTCATAGGTTGGACTTGATGATCCCAGAGATCTTTTCCAACCTGATTGTTTCCATGACTGAGCATCTCTAAGGCTGTGCAGGACTAGGTTCTGCTACACAGAAGCAACAGCAGGGCCAGAGGAGCTTCTATCTCCTGAGGGTCGTGGGAGGGGGAATTTTACACAACAAGAAGCGGGAAAGCCTCCGGGTCCGCCCTGGGAAGGCACTTCAGGGAAGGGCAAAGGAGAACAAAATAGGCCGGAAACATCTGGAGCATCAACCTGACACTGAGCAACAGCACCTACACGGCCTCAAGCAGCTACAGACACCCCTACAGCCGCACACAGCCACTCACAGCCGCACACAGAGCTGCACGCACACAGCTGCACACACACACGCACACAGCTGCACACACACAGCTGCACACACACACACGCACACAGCTGCACACACACAATTACCGTTCCCTTCCCCACACGCCGCCGCCAGCCCGGCACCGAGGCCGGCGGTCGAACGGGCCCTGACAAGTGCTGCGCGCAGTGCCCCCCGCCTCACGGCTCATTCCCCACTCTAGCCCCGCTGCCCGCCGCCCCTGCCGCTCGGGCAGCCCCGCCCGTCCCCGCTCGCCGCTCCCGTCCCCGCTCGCCGCTCCTGTCCCCGCTCGCCGCTCCGTCCCCGCTCGCCGCTCCCGTCCCCGCTCGCCGCTCCCGTCCCCGCTCGCCGCTCCCGTCCCCGCTCGCCGCTCCCGTCCCCGCTCGCCGCTCCCGTCCCCGCTCGCCGCTCCCGTCCCCGCTCGCCGCTCCCGTCCCCGCTCCCCGCTCCCGTCCCCCCTCCCCGCTCCCGTCCCCGCTCGCCGCTCCCGTCCCCGCTCCCTCACTCACTCACTCACTCACTCACTCACTCACTCACTCACTCACTCACTCACTCACTCACTCACTCACTCACTCACCCGCCGCCCGCTGCTGCCACCGCTGTCGCACAGCGCAGGTTCCCTTTACGGCCGCTCTCGCTCGGCGGCAGCGCGGCACGCGCCCGCCTCGCCATGCCGTGTGTTACGAGAACACTGCGCACGCGCACCTCCCGAGGGCGGGAAGGGCCTTCCAGGCCCCGCCCACCGCCCCCTCCCCGCCCCCCCCGCGCGGCCCCGCGCACGCGCACCCGGCGGGAAGCGCCGCCGCTCCCGTGCGGTTGGGGGTGTGGGTGGGGGTGGGCGCTCAGGGCGCAGGCGCAGCGGGGCCGGCGGCGCTGGCGGGACAATCGAGCGGCGCTGAGGCGGCACCGGCGGCACCGGCGGCACCGGCGCGAACGGAGGTACCGAGGGACTGGGGGCACGCACGGGGGGCCTCGGTGGAACGGACCTTAAAGATCATCCAATTCCAACTCCCTGCCGGGGGTAGGGACACCTCTCACTAGACCAGACTGCTCAGAGCCCCATCCAGCCTGGCCTTGGACAGTTGCAGGGATGGGGCATCCCCTGCTTCTCTGGGCAACCTGTGCCTCACCACCCTCACAGTAAAGAATTTTCCCCTAATACCGAATCTAAACTTGCCCTCTTGAAGCTGTTCCCCCTTGTCCTACCACTACATGTCCTTGTGAAAAGTCTTTACAGCTACTTATCATGTGAAGCGATTTTTCATTGATTTGGATGTTCAAGACGATGCAGTCGCTGCCTTCAGTTTAAATGACTGAAAGCTGATCCTGTGTCACACTTCTGTAGTTGCCCACAACCTCTGTTTGCCTCACCGTCTGTGCCGGGAGTGCCTTTTCAAACACTCAGGAGAGCAGCCTGTGACGTTTGGGCCGAGGTGGTTCACGTAGGCACGTTTAGCAGGGCTCTGTGCACACCGAGGTGGGTTTTGAACAAAACCCAGTGCTGAAATGTTCTTCTTATGCGTGTTTTATCGTAATGGAGCTATTAATGTACCAAAAGTACTACCAAATGCAGTGCTTGCCAAACCAGGTGCACTCCCGAGACAGTTTGGGCTGTGGTTTCGTGGTGCACTGGCTTTGGTCAGGCCGGGTGGCTAATAAAAAGCAGGATCTGTGCTTTTTGCTTTGCTTGCAGCTGTTTCTCTGCAGCTGTTCCCCTGCAGCCACACTTAAGGGTAAGGCAAGTACAGGATGGTTCGGTGTGTAAGTGGTGTCTCTGAGGAAAGGGCATAATTGCAAGTTAATTGATGTGGTTGTAAGGTGGAGCTGTCCCTTGCCCTTGCTACATCCAGTCTGATCTCATCTACAAACAAGATTTGGCTGATCAGTCGTTTGTTGCACATCCGTGATGGTCTATTTCAATTATTATCTTTTGTATTTTTGTTTTTATTATATTTTATAAAAGCTTATATTTTGAAGACAGAGAGGAAGATATATTGCTGGAAACAGTATTCCATTTTAAAAACACAAACCCCCTAAAGGTTTTTGTGCAAGTGGTGCAAGTAGGTAATACTGGAAATATTCTTACAGATTCTAAAATTTAACGCGAGGGAAGTTACTGATTTACCAACGGCAGTGTCTTTAAATTTCTTACTATTTTGCAAATTTCCTAATGAGTCTGATTTTGTGGTTTAAGACCCATAGGCAGCACAATGCCCAAACGAATTTGGAACCCAAAACACTTCTATCACAGATATGTGCAATTTATGAAGTGCACAGCTCCCCTGTTCCACTCGAGACGTGACAAGCTGTGGAAGTGCATGGGCAGGGTTAGTGTAGCAGCTCAGCCATGCTATGGACAGTCCTCATGCAGAGTCGTGGGTTGTCACCATGTGTTGTTGCGTTGGGTAGAGAACTCGATCATATTCACATGGCACCTGAAGCTGGCTGTGCTCAGTGCTGGCACTTGCAGTCTGCTCCTCTGGAAGGTTCTTGACTCCTTTCCAGTGTTCACAGTGACTATCAGCTGTTCACACTACAGGTATTCCTGTTATAATAACCAAGCTACTCCCTCATTGCATAGGGTTAACTAAAATCCATATGCTAACACTGCTGTCAAGTAGGCCTTACTTAAGTGAACTGCTGCTTACACAGTCAGGAGCTTCTTTCCTTGTATTTTTAATAACAGTCACAGTGGAAGTGACAACAGTTCAGGCCATTTTGCCATTAAGGTTTACAAACAGTAACAGCATCTTATATATCCTAATTGTTCAGATGTGCCGGAGAGATCTTTGCTTTTAGTGTCTGTGTGTTTGCAAAGTGTTTTGACCATACTCCTTTATTACTTCTATGCAAACCTTGGGAAGAATGGTGGTTGTGCCCCAGGAAGCCACTGGAGTGCAGAGTAGCGCCAAGAAAAGTGCAGAAACACACTGACTGTTGCAGCAGGATACAAATGTGCCTTAGAGATAGTAGAGAAGTTTGTATCTGCAATCTGTATTATGGTTTGTTTTTAACCTAGTAGTGGAGGGATCAATTAAAAAAAACAGTCCATGAAAATTAAACCCAAATATGTTCCATAAGTTGCTGTACCATGCTTGGCTTCTTCATTTCAGCTACTGTGTTATTTTATTGAAATTTTCTTCTCTTGTTTTGTTTCTGTCTACTACTTTGAAGCATTAAGATTATAACTTGTTATTCTAGTGGTTGCAAGTAAACTTTGTCATATTAACACTGGCATATTGGTTTTGCCCTAAGGTTGTTCAGGGGAATAATGTTCTTATACTTTGAGGGAAAATGTACTATAGATTTCTTCTGTTGTTCAAGTGGACACAACATGGAGCTCCACTCTAATTTTGAGCTTATTTCCTACTGAATTCTAATCCCATAGTGGATGAGGCATACCTTCAACTTTCATTGTTCATTGTACACTAATAATGGGCTTTTCAAAGTTACGTTTTAAGTGTTTAGAGTAGTTAGTTTTGCTTCAAATTTTCTTCCTTTTTACAAACTTAGGTAAGTTTGTTAAGCAGCCCGACATTGTTTAACTCCAGAGTATTTCTTGCAATTGGGAACAGCACTATTGGCTTTTTAAAAGAAAAAGGAGGTGTTCAACCACAGAATTTGCTGTAGTTGATCCTTCTTAGTACTTAATACATTGTAACAATACATCTTTTTCTTAAGTTGTATTATGCTTGTGAATTAAGATTGTTACTTGAAAATATTTTATATCTTTTATGTTGTTTTAAAATAGTGCTTATGTTGTCATCTTTGGATGTATTTTTATATTTAAAGCTATTCTGACTACAGTTGTCTTTATCTGCTTCCTTCCTTCCTGACCACCTGCCAAAGCAGTACAACTAAATATGAGGCGATCTGCAGCTCCGAGTCAAGTCCTAGGAAATGCAGCCAAAAAGCCCAAGTTTACACCACCAGGAAAATCTGTTGCAGTTTGTCCCAAGAATGAAACTAAGGAGATGGACCAAGAAATGAAATTAAAAGAGGTAAAATGAACAGTGCACTCACAAAAAAGTATATTTGTTTGTACAGTATTGTGACTAAAAGATAGCATCTGAGCTCATCACAAACAACCTCTGCTTAAATAGTCTGTTCAGAATAGATTTTGATAGCTTTGCTCTCAGTACCTTTATCTTCCTTCTCCAACTCTGTGAAGTGGATACAGAAAAATGTTTTTCAAATAAGTAAAAGTAATCAGTGTTGAGCCCAAATACAATTCCCAGTGTAGCTGAGGTAAGGATTGTATCTTTGTGTGGGCTTTGTTGGATGTTTTTGGTAAAAAAAGTTAAAAACCCAAGGTACATGTAATAAAGTGTCAGTACATTGAGTTGCAGTTTTGCTGCAAGGAACTTTCCCTGAAACCTTTAACAATAACCCAAAAAAGCATTACAATTTTTATTTATTTATCTACATAAGACTTTTATTAAATTCAGTTCATAAACTGTTGGCACAAGTGGTGTTTGTTCTGTTGTGAACACTGGGATGCATATAGTTGTGTAGGGATGTATATATTTATGCAGACAGTTTGATGATGACAATCGGTATTCTTGAGATCCCTTGCTATTTTCTCTATTTTTCTTTACCTGTATGAAGGAAATGCTATTGGGAACTCATTTCTCTTTTGCAGAGAGATGAGAAAGAGGGAAGTGCTTCATTGCTTTCTAAATTATACGTCCAGAATCAAAATGAAAATTTTACACAGTCTGTGGAGTCAACTGGGCAAGTAAAGACAAAAGCAACTTTCAACACTGATAAGTGTAGCAAGGTGGAAATGAAATCACTAAATGTCCCCAAAGCTGGTAAGATGATGTTTCTTATTTACTGCCGTGTATCATTAGAGAGTTTTAAAGCTTATGAATGACACACTGCTTATAAACTTCCATGGAATACTATTATAAGAGTTGTGCAATGGTGGCATTATTTAGTGTTCTGCTGGTTAGAGAGTAAAAGAAACAGCGTTAAATGACTTTTCTAATAAAAAGAGGCGGGGGAAGTGTTTTAGAAGCCAGTTGATAGTGTCATCAGTTGATTTGTGTCTTCCAGAAAAGCACTATAGTCAATTCACTCTAATCCACAGTTATAGCAATATAAGAGCTG